TTTCTAGCCCCATTGTCGTGTGGGAAGTGTACCCTGCCTTGCCGCGGTTGCATGCCAACTATTGCCCGAGGGAGAACTCTGTGGCTTCACTGAGAGCGGGTTACCCGTGAAGAGTACGAGTGGCTTGGCTGCAGGGCCCCAGTGCACCCATTGCGCAGAGATCGTGCAGGGAACTTCCGATGTGCATGAGGGGATGGCACATGGTGCTCGGTGAGCCTGTGCTAATACGTGTAGTGTCTGATTTTGTCCTGTTTCCTTGTTTTTTCTCGCGCAGTCGAAACCTTACCAGTTGCGGGGTTGGATCGTCTTGAAAGGCAACTTGTGATCTTGTAACAATAAAATTGAGAGAGGAGCTTTGATTCGAGGAGGTCAACGATGGATGGGATGTTGGCTCTTTTGCAGGTGGACCTTGAGTGCCGAGAAGCCGCCGAAAGTTCTAGCCGTTCGAATCGAAATGGGCTGGTCTCAGTGATGGACAAGATGAGTGATGAAATGTTTCCAAGGCTCTTTCTGGATTGCCTCAGAGGCCACTGAAAACGGAAAATGGAATCGAGGCAGAGGAACGAATGGGAATGGAGACGCAACTGGCGGTCTCTGCAAGCCCCAAAAGGGAATCCTGATCAAGGAAAGATGCCAGGCGGACTTGACCGCTAGACTGGCCACCGGCGTGGTTTGAAGGTCCAGCTCATTTCTGGCGTGCTGGAGTTGGTTGATTCAGAAGGGGAAAATTGGGGAAGGAAAATCGAAACAAGGTGCAGGAGGCGGCGTGGAGAAAGTCGGCCTCACTAGCCATGATGAGTTTAAGGCAGTTGGGTGGAGGATGGATGTGACGAAGATATTATTACATGGAGATGGGTGGATGGAACAATAATGGGATGAGATGACAGCAGAGTCTGCACCTCTCTTTCAACACCCATGGTAAGTGGCCACTCCCCGAATCACCCCCCCCTTTTGGCTTTTTCCTTAAAGTATCTAGGTACAAACGAGTAGGTCTGTCCTCGTAGGGTAGCGCGTAGTTATCTTCAGCCCTGCTGATTGACGGGGTGTGCCCAGTACGAGTGACACAGTCATGGATGATGGAAATGTCGCTCCGTCCAAGTGTGACGTGGATCATGCCTCAGATTAAACTGCTTCGATTGTGGAACCTGGAATATTTCTCGAAGCCTAGAAGACTCGCTGACTGTCAGCCACAACCTCGAACGACGGGGGCGGACCATGGTCCACGAGCATGGCCAACATGAGTTTGATTGTTTCCCAGGACTAAGGCTGTGGTTTGAGGTCCCCATCGCCCCTACAAGGTGACCAAATGAATCCCGCGTATCCAGTTAAACCGGGTCAACCAAGGGTACGAGTACCACTGCCTACCTAGCTAGCTGCTCGTCCTCGGAGAGCCAAGCACCCCCACCCCAGGCGCCCACACCTGAAAGAAGTGGCCCTCAGCCCTTGACACATTTCCACGTGGCCTCCCTGAGCCAGGCTTCTAGGCTAGAAAGAGGGACCACCTTCTGATGCCTCCACTGCCGGTGCTTCCATCAGCTGCACAGCCTAGTACTATCCCGACGTAGTCTCAGGGCTTTTTCTTCTCTTCACACCATCACCTGAAGCTTGATGCTCGCCTAGGCTTAAGCTCCTTAGAAACTAGTCCCAAAATGCCAGACTGGCAGGGTTCCATTGGTCTGAAGGGAAAATTCCCTCTCCTTAGTTCGTTTCATCTCGAGCCTGACGATCACCAACCTCGAACATCATACGTGAAGTTTGAACTTTGAGGCGGAGTTATTCTGTCCTTGGACGGTGAATTGGCCATGCCACGTCTTCTGCCTTGCTCCTTCGTCGCCCCCTTCTTCTCCCCAAGAGCGGTGAAGCCAATAGTCATTGGTCAAAGTTCGACACCGCCGCGAAGTCTGCGGCTCGACAACCCGTGATTGAGGTTGCACGACAATCTCCTCTTGGCACATTTCATAGTACGAGCAAAAAGTACGTACTGGACCTGTACGGAGTATTGTGTCGATGGCTTTGAGGAACTGCTCGTCCCAGATGGATGAACCATGGTTGGTCCTTTCGGCGGATGACTCCAGCGTATCAGAGAGACGGTCCCATGATATTTCCAGCCTGGGCGCCGGCGAGTGGCCGGTAGCCTTCTCGAATCTCAACCTTCTTGCCCGATCCCTCTTACGGGACCCTTGTCCTCCAACCCTGCATTCCAACCCCCGAGTCAGGCAAAAGAGGGTGCCCTTAGAAGCTTGGTGATGGTGGAGAGGGGGCAGTTCGTACGGCACGCCGGCATTGAAGCTTGGGCGGGCCAAAACCGAGCTACCAGATTGGGTGATATTGCGAGATCAATGGCCTTTGATTCTTCAGCATTCATGCCTCTGAGTGGCTCTAGCAGATAGGTAGTAACGGTCAAGGGCCTCTTGTCCACGTACTGACCCGAAGGATTTCGACCTTTTGGAGGCCTTGAATCTCTCCAACATGTCCGGGTATCCGAAACCACCAATGTTTCCTGTCCTGACGACGTTCGGCTGGAGGTAGATAACGTCTTGTTTGTACGACGCCCGCTTGGCCGGGAACGTTATAGTGCTGGTCTCGCACTCAAGCCGCACTGACTGCGATATGTGAGGAGTACTGCGAAGCTCCGAGGAGGTCAGCCTGTTGGCCGGAACGCGATGGATGTCATACCCAGTTCTTTGTCACGAGTCAAGCCAATAACAAATCGAGATGCTGTTAATCTCCGGAAAACCTGATCGTCGCAAGCACGCACACACACGTTGTTTCCCTTCTATTCTGTGGGGATAGTACGTGGTGCTAGTCATGGGTATCGAGGATGATCATTTACTGTTAGAAGAGGAGTGTCCGCTTGATAGTCTTTTGATGAAATATCAGTTGGTGGGCTGCACATCCACTGTCAATGGTGTTACCAAGATGCCCGTCGTCAGTGCCATCTTCATAACTTGACGGCCATTGGGTTGCTCTGCGTTCTGTTACCTCAGGGTGGTTCTTGGCCTGGGTTGGACAAGAGATTACCACTGAATGTGGGATAGTGGTGGACCTCTACTCGTAGTTAGCAAGTCGGGCAGCCGTATCATTCCGGATGCTTCATGTGTCACCTTTGCGGTAGTGGTATACCTTACTGTATCATTCTATCGGTCATAGAAATCCGCATCAAAGACTTTTGCTTTCATTTGTTCCACCTCACACAAGACGCAAAGCGAACTTGCCTGACCCGCTTGAAAGGATGGACAATTTGTATCGTGGAGGTTGATCTATCTGCAAAAGGAAAAGCGGTCGGAAAGAATGCAGCCTGTGAATGGATCCAACAGCAGACAAAAGAAGACCATGTGCGCATGATTACTCGTATGCACTGCTAGGGGAGGAGGGAGAGGGGGCGGTGTCTTGCAATAGTCCTCAAAACATCCATCACGGCTGACAATAACGGTAGATTGTATGGAGAATACGGTGAGTAAGGCTCTGACATGGCATATTTGGTGATGAGTTGGTGGTCTCAGAGATGCAAGTTTGAATGTGACAATTCTTCACGAAGACAGACAGCTGTCAAACAGAGACGCCGAGAACTTGCTTGGTGGTTGACATTCGGCACACATGACGGGGTGAGGACGACCGGATCTTTGGGGGCCAGAAGTGATGGATTCGTTCCCTCCTAGGCATGTTACTGCACCCCGGACCTACTTCTACACAGTACAAAATGTCACTCATATGTACTCGTGGCTGCTTGTCGGGGTTGGGCCGGTGCCTAATGTTAATGACTAGTTTATGCCGACTGTATGCTGCACCTGTAGAGCTCGTGGGTATATGCCAGCCTGGCGCCCTTGATCTGGGGAGATGCCTGCTGAGGATTCAATCATGCGATTCTTACTGGCGCTGGCCCGAAGCCACGTTGTTGGGATGCAGAATTATGCTTAGCATTTGGCCCATGTCCATTGTCCAGATAATCGCACCAGTCACTGTCTTTCACCTCCTCTTGACCGTCCCTCCGTACATCTAATTCTCGATCCAATTCAATCCTCTCCTCTGTCCTCCACTTTGAATTAAACCTACTATCTTGAATAAGAATCCAGTCTTACCATTGACTACATCTGTCGTCGTATCATTGTCCCTAGTTAAGTACGATCTCCGGCAGATCGCCCGTTACGTTACTTTTACCAAACGCAAACAGGAAGCGAAAAAAAGGGAGAGGGAGAGAAAGAGAGGAGTAGGAGAAGGGGAAAAAAAGACAAGAGAACCCTGACCGCGCCTCCATCATTCTCGCCACCTCATCAAAATTGAACTCCTATTGTCCATCTTCCATCTTCATCTCAGATTTGACCCAGCCCTGGTTCAGACAATACTCAGACAAGCTGCCCTACCAGCGATACTTGTTTCGATCGTGGCTCCAGCAGCAGCAGCTCGTTTCGACAGGATTTGAGCACTAGCTTTCCCCCTTTGGAGGGCCTTTTGAGGATACCCTTGAAGTTTCCAGGCTGTCGAAGATCACTTCCAGTTCAACATCCTTCCCAAGGTTGTCCGGCGTCCTCGCCAAATCGTGCGCCTAACTCGATCTGCCCTCCCTCGCCCTGTCAGCACGCTCCTGGGCGGGCCAGGCTCAGCACACCCTTCTGGAGGACACAAGACACACTGGGTAGTGGGCAACGGGGTCGTAAGTGGCCCGGAACGAACTCTTCTCGAATAATTACATCCTTATCCACTTTCAACCCTGGTGACCCTAACTCAACTCAACCCCCCCCCTGCCAGGGCCACCGAGCCCAGGACCTTGCTTAGCCTGCGGCTTAAGTGGCTCCACTATCCTCGTGGTCTCGTGGTGAGCAATCCCGGCTTCTTCGTGGGTCGTGGGTTACGCCCCGTTGGTGTTTCTGCCACACTACTACCGTCGACCGCCAGTCCTGCTCCTCTGGCGGCCCTCTGAAATCGCCCAGTACGAGTGCGATGCTGTGCGGAACCTGTCCAAATCCTGAGCATCTTTACCCGCATGATTTCCAGTCTTCTCCATGTCCGAGCCAACGGATGTGTCAGTGGACGACTCCATGACTTCGGCGCCTGTTCCAAATTTACCTGCCCAAGTCGTTTCGCCTGATATCGCCCACGATTCCTCTTCCACCTCGAATTCGCTTCGTACAGACTCTACTCGCCCACCTCACCACCATCACTCAAGTTCAACCAGTCTTGCCCAAGCCAAAAGCAGAAGGTCGCTGGCATCTCTGGCACGCGAGAAAACATCTAACGCCTTTGCAAATCTGGCCTCCCTGGGCACAAGTTCCACACCAAGTTTGCGCTCGGCAACCTCGTCGGGAAGCCTATCTAAACATTCCGCCTCTGTCAACCACACACGACCAACTCTTCCACGGTCACCAACTTCGCCAGAAGTGCACGCCGCCGCACAGTCCCGGAGAACGAGCGGAATCCCCCTTCCAATTCAAGATTCGAGAAACAGCACCACGGTCCCATCAATGCCGAACCCGGACAGGAAAGATGGGAAAATGCATCAGACGTCATCCAAGATATTGCGCATGACCGACGATGAGAGACCCTTCACCCGAGACTTCCAAGACCTATTCGCCACTCTCATTACCAGCCTGCCACTCACTCCCCATCGAGTCAGGTTCTCGAGGGTCGAGGAGACGTTTCTATCAGAAGAGGCCATCACGAATCTCGGCTCACTGAAGTTTTCTCAATCTAACCGCATCCCCGACCCAAAGAACCCATCAAGATGGGTCGTCACGACCACGACGACAACATTTTCCATGGCCAAGGAGATGGCTCGCTCCGTGTGCCAACGATTTGTTGATGCACGGCTGATCGAGTCTGCCGAGTCCAAAGGGAACACCGTCTTTGTGACCAAGGGTGGCGTGTGGCAACTGACGCCAAAGGGATCCGCTACCCTACACCGTTTCTGCGGTCGAAACGGAATTAATGCACGTCACATTGAACCCATACTACGGCGAAATCAGATGCAGATGGTATCCTTGGAAAGGGACCCAGCCACCGACAAACTTGTACAGGACAGGCCGACGATCGAGATCATATTCCGCCGATTTATGGGCTCAGAAGGCCCCAACCTCAAGAGCTCTACATCCTTGTCAGACTCTGACTCCGTCTCCGAGTATGCCTCTGGACTTGTGGGTGTCAAGATGGCCAAGGAACGAAGAGTGTTGGATAAACTAGTCAACAACAGCTTCACTGGTAAAGCCGCTTCCGACTGGTTACTCGATTGCTGCACCACCATCGACCGCAGAGAAACCTACGAAATGGCAGAATTGTTTGTGAAGTGGCAGTTGATGGCACCAGTTGTGGAGGACCGAGCATATATTCGATTGAACCCAATGGCCACGTACTTCCAACCTACCAAGCATGCAATTTACACGATCACGGAACGGGGACAACGGGTCTGCGGCTGGCTTGCACGGCCTGCGAGCATTGACAGTGAAGATAGTCGAGACACAAAGGATCCTAAGAGTCGACTTGCAAAGGACTCCAACGTCAGCCGATTGAACGTGATCCTGCAAGACGCGGCCCTGCGGTTGCTCTTCAAAGAGTTTCTTAGGCAGTCACTCTGCGAGGAGAATTTGCAGTTTTACTTCGACGTGTCGGACTTTACCACCAATTACCGAAATCTTGAGAAGTCTGGAAAGCTAGAACGACCCGAGGCTGTCAGGGAGACCCTCGCTGCGGCATATGGTAAGTCAATCGAAGCTTCTTGCTCCCAAAACTCCTGAGGCTGATCGGTCTAGGTCTCTATAACTCATTTCTTGCGTCCGGTGCCCCCTCAGAGCTGAACATCGACCACTCCCTCCGGAATCGTCTCGACTCACGAATGATTCGCACCAACGCCGATGATGAATCCATGCGTGAGAGTCTAGATGAAGTTGTGGATTTGTTTGAGCTTGCCCAAGGCGCCGTCTTTAAACTGATGGCTAGCGTAAGCTTTTACTGCTTATCCTCCCAGAATTCACGTTGACTTAATGTCGTAGGACTCTGTCCCCAAATTCCTCCGAGATCCCAGGCACGCTGCGGTCCTTCGAGATCACGAAATCGACTTAATCGGCTCGAACCGAGCAATGTCACCCGCACCTGATCGAACCGTCAGTCGGTCGAATACACGATCATAATCCGTCTGCTTGATCAAGTCTTTACCAACGACGACTTCGAATCAGACCCGTCTTAGTGGTCTTCGCTGTTTCAGCGATAACAATTTACAAGACCACATTCTAATGTGATGAATATACGAATGCAGAATCTGTGGTACGGATTCGTTGTACAAAACTGTCATTTCACCATTGCGGGCAAAGCTGGGTGACTTGCACGAGCATGTCATGAGTCTCGCGATTTGTCTTATTGCGAGAATAGAATGATTCCATTTCGGCAGTGTACTGCCATATCTGTTGCATACCATCATGTACAGGTTCTGCATAGCGTGGTCGGAGAGGTGGTTGTGTGTTCTTTTTCTTACAACCGGGCATAGCTTTAGGGGCGCGAGCATTCCATTCTGCATTTGCATTGGAAAGATACCCCTGTGGAGGATGCGAATAAAGAGTGGATAGGGACGAAGGGATGAAGGGACGAGACATCGGGGGGATGGCGGATATCGCAGACGATGGCTGGGGCAAGACGAGCAATGCGTTGGTCGCTGGGGGGCAAATGGTGTGGGACGTGGATAGCTGTATTGGAAACAACAATGAGATGGACTGATCTTTCAAGATATTGCAGAATAATATGAACAGCTGTCCAACTACACTCTCGAGATAGTTCTCGAGATGTCTCAAAAGCAGCATTCTGTCTGCTTCTTACCTCAACGAGGTGGTCAACGTTGGTGAAGTGACCGACTGCGCTTCCTCTCAACGCTCCACCTGTGCTCGGTACGAGTATGTCGCTCCATGACCGGACGAAGACATCGCCTTTTCGGACAAGGACTCCGTAAAGAGCACATAGGCTATGCCGTCCGCCCTAATTTCGTCCACCCCTGTCCGGACACTCTCCTGAACTGGAAATTTTCCAGAAGGGAGATTCGAAGGGGAAAGCGAGATGACCGAGTCCCAAGATCCTAGTATTTCCTGCAGTTCGACGTCCAGTCGATGACACGCTGACCGGCCAAGATGCATAGCGCATGTAACATGGGTCGGACAAAGCAATTTTAGCAACGATTTGACTACAAATACAGCAGTCTTTGGGACAAGACGGATGGAAGTGGCTTGCGTCGTGGATGTATATGATCCATTGGCAAAGAGGCTGAAGGCCGTGGGAAAAGGGGGGAAAGGCCCATGCGTGCCGGACATGACGGAAAAATCATAATCCGTGACTCAGCGGGCATCCTGTCTTTTACCACTCTTGGAAAGGCCCAAATGGGGACTGACAGTCCTGCATGCAACCCTCTACGACAACATTAGTCGCGCACACGGCGATGCCGTATCGACCTAGACTATAGCACTGATCCCTGTTGAACACTAATTGAAGAGATGGCCTCCTCGGATGCGCTGCAACTGTTGCGGTCCTCAATTGCAGCCTCCAAACCCCCAACCCTCACAAAGACCTCAGATCCTGCCACCGCCGAAGCAAACCAAACAGATTCGTTAGTCGAGGCGACACACCTCTACTTCACACACCCCGCCTCACAATGCCTCCCTCTAGACACGAAGACGCGGTTTACGTCGCAGAATCCGGACACTGCCCAAGTTGATCTACGCAGCATCTTCTTCGCCTGGCAGCAGAAGGATGTTCCAGTGCCCGAGTACATTGCTCGCGCAGCCGAGCTCGACAAGGAGTTACCCGAAGGCCACAAAGTGCGAAATCTGATTTTCGTTGAGCGCTTGGACCTGATCACCTGGCTTGAAGGCGCCTCGGAAGAGTCGGAATACATCAAGCCCATTGAAGGCGCGGCTGCTCTGGGAGATGCGGTCAACAGGGCAGCCGATGTTGCTGGTGGTGCGGCTGTGCCTACAGTCAGTGGCTCTGGGGTCGGTGTTACACAAACCGCTGGTGGCAGGCCTGTCAAGGTGATCGATGCCCGGCTGCAGGCAATCTACAATGGTGAACGAAGGATGGGCGATCACAACACAGTCTTGCGCGGGATCAAACCCACGGTAAGCATCATCTCACCCACGTACCAATATCCATGTGCTAACTCTTTTGACAGGACTTCTCACATGTCCGTAAGCATGCAGAAACCTTCCTTGGGCGACGAAAAGGTCTCCCTTCATCTTCGCGACCAGGTAGTCTTCCAGCAAAACCAGCTCAACTGGCCGCTCGACCTGCCGCAAACTCGTCCAAACCACTTGCATCGGCCGTGTCCTCGAAACGATCCGACCCGATCATCCTCCTCTCTCCATCTGCATCGTCTTTGCTCCGGATGTCTAACATCAAAACATTTCTCGATACTGGCTTGTATGTGCCCCCGGACCATCCCACCCTGTCTACCCAAACCACGGCCAATCTGCTGCACATCACCCGCACAATGCATTCTTTGAGCGAGAAACCGTATCGCTTCATCCTCGTCGATTCTCCCGAACACTTCAAGCCAGATTACTGGTCCCGGGTCGTTGCTGTCTTTACCACCGGTCAGATCTGGCAATTCCGAGGCTACAAATGGCGAGAACCACAGGAGTTGTTTGGTCACGTCCTTGGTATTTATGTCGGAGAGAAGGGTCTACCCATCCCGGCTGAAGTCAAAGGGTGGGGATCTAGCGTCAAAACTTTTGCCGTCGAAAGGTGGGATGAAAGAGCACACGGGCAAAATATTGAGCAAGAAACGAGGATGTCACGACGGTGGAGGGATAGAGAGACTGTTGAGGAGGTGTGGAGGTCCATCGAGGGTTACATGAGAGGCAGGGGGGAATGGAAGCGATGACTCGTCACATGTGCTGCCAAAGGCTGGATGATCGATTGGTGATCCTTCGGAGAGCCTTCCAACTACTGGGTTCAAGCGAAACGCCTCCTTTGCGACGATGCCGACCGGAAACTGTGGTCTATCCATTCTTCTCTGTGGTAGCCGTTCACGTGCGCGCGCAAAGTGCGGCCGAAGAAAAGGCCGCTCACGAGACTTGCAGCTGAGCGAAAATCAAGGCACCGCGCAAGCCGACCATGAAATGGCTGCATGTGGTACCTGGTTGGGGAATCTCATTGAACACGAACAAAATAATTGCGAGATTCGTGGTACCTGTCCCCGCCATTTCCTGGCGACACTCGATTCATCCTTGGCTCACTTCGAGCATAGCAGTCTCAAGTCAACGCTGGGTGATGCAACTGACTACCTGGTAGTGGGTAGGCAGGCAGAGTCAACTTGGCTCAGTTTAGGAGGGTCTAAGCCACCAAAAGTGGCCCACAGGTTTTGTCAACCAAAGATTCGGCCGCGGCGTTGTTTCGCGGAATGCATGTCCTGCTTGTGTTTGTGGCGGCGACGACGATGAGGCAGACGAAGCACTGAGGAGCGTTTGCAACGGGTGCAAGCGTGTGTGTGGCATTTCTTTTTTCTTTTTCTTGGAGGAAGATAGAGATAGACACATATCCACACACACCCAGAGAGGCCTCCTAAAAAATGTCAAAGGACGTCTCCCACAGACACAGAGAAGACAGAAGGCATAAAGAGCCAGCCAGCTATCTCCAGTGTCAGTATTTATCTTTTCCACCCAAGCTACACCGCTGTGTGTCCTACCTACCTTACCTACCTAGGCAGCATTATTGACACGAACGCTGCCTATACTCGGTTCTTACTACATACATCCGTATGTAGTTCGGGATTCTTTTCCCCTAACTTTTCTTCTCCTGACCTGTTGTCTGGCTCCTGTTCCCCCATCTTTCGCTTCTTTTTCGCTTCGCTCCCCTTCGGCATCAACTCTGCGTTATGTACCCTTCCTTCAACTACGTACTTGCTACGTAATACCTAGGTGGTTACTGTACATGTCTATGTATACGTATGCGTATGCACGTACGTATACACGGGCCGCATATGCATGCATACCAAGTAGCTCTCTGAATCTCCCCAAACCTCCCAGTTCCCGTTTGATCAGCTCCGATCACCTCCAAATAAAACAAAACCGAATTGTAGAAAGTATACCACTTTCAGGGGTATTTTGGGACTGAGAAGACGCGACGAGGGGAGGGGAGAAGACAGACAGATAGACAACCACTCAGAAAGGTTCGAGGTTCATGGCTCATGTTGTTCGGTTAATCGGGTGGACATTTAATATATATACTAATAGACAGGCAATATATAAACACAATATTCAGAATGAACCTCCAAAGTCCCAAATTCCTCATTTCTCTGCCGCGTACATACTATATATCAACGAGGTTCCTCTCCCTAACCATAGCGCCGGACTGTTAATGACCCCCCCTCCTTCTCCATATAGGTCAAACCACAGAGCCTTTCCATTTCCAAGGACATCGACAAACTCTTTTGCAGGCACGAAGAGAAAACCGTCTCGTCAAGCTTCCGGTTCAGATTCGGAGTCGGATTCAGAGGACCTCCAATCTACTGGCAGCTCTGGAATCTCTGAAGGAAAAATGACCTCGGGCACATGGTTCCGGTTCAGCACCTCTTGCTCCTCCGGGGTCAAGGCTTTGAAAGCGAGTCGGCCGCGATAGCGAATCTCATGACGGAGCTGTACCAAGAGTTTGAGGCCGATGCGACGCGGCGTCCAGGGCGGGAGGGCCATGGGGAGCCAAACCCCGTGGAAAGGCGGCGGGGTTACTCGTCGCCGGAAGCTCTGCAGGTTGCGGATCGCAAGGACAACGGCCCTGCACCCGGGGCAGCATCTTCTCGAGACACCCAGCATGTCGCGACCGGCCTGGAGCTTGCTAACGACTTGCGGCGAGACGACTATGTCGCGAGACCTGAGACACTGGGATATTGTTTCGGGACTCGGGCACGTGCGTCCGAATACCCAGGGGAGCGTCAGGGCGTGCAGCGTGAGCAGCATCGTCTCACAGTGAACAGTGCCCGCGAATTCCGCCTCGTCCAGATCGCCGTGTCCGTTCCGCTCTAGCCACAGTGTCAAAGCCCTGCGACTGGTCTCGGAATGCCACTCGAGTTCTTCCAGTTCCTGCCGAACGTTGCACAGGTCGCGGGAGCCTCGATCCCAGGGTGCGACCTTGAACTCGATCGTGTGAACCTTGGCCAGGGGGACCACTTGCCTCAAAGACTTGGACCTCCATGTCCGAGATGGCGCCCACATGTGAATGTCCCGGGCGGCGTCCTGCTGAGAAAGCAGGAGCTGTAGCCACTGGAGGCACGCGTTGGACCAGTCCCAAGTCCTCCCGTTCTCGATCTCTTTCAGGGTGACGACGTGTTCCCCCTCCAGGTAGGGACAGGCTTGCTTGATCCCTGGCTCAGAGCCCCGATGAGCGTCGTCCTTGAGCTCGCATATGCGGGCCACCCATTTGAGTGTGAGGCGGATCTGTTCTCGAAAGCGGGCTACAAAAGCCCACAGGAAACGCATAATGCCCTCCAGAGCATGGATGGCTTTGCTGAAGGCCGCTCTATCATTGGATGCCTGTCCGGCCCAAGGAGGCTGACATAGCTTAGCACGATCCAGCACCTTCTCTATACCTCGCAATAGCGTGCATAGAGCCTCGTAAAAGAAGCGAGGAGCGTTATACTCGCTACTTTCAGATTGCTTGTGATCGGCCTTGCTGATGAGCTCAAGCTTCCTAAGAAAGGTTTTGAGCTCTGGCCCGTTGCCCTTGGGGAGAGGGGCAACACCGTTAAACCGCTCCTCGTTGGCCTGGGGGCCCGTGAGTTTATCCACCGCGTCGGCGAACGAGGCGGGTATCTCTTCGTCCTCGTCCTCGTCCTCGTACCGGAGACGGAAGACCGCGTAGAAGTTTCGAGCCCTCGCGCCAAAGTCAAATCGCTCCTGTAGCCGCTTCTGCCCGACACAGGTCATGAAAACTGTGAAGTCCTCCCAGGCCTTGTGCTGCGCTTCTTGGCCGATCTGCCTCGGGGCCTGCTTCAGCAGTGTCAGGGTCAGCTGGACGGTGAGGGCCGGAGGGACGTCGCCGCCATGTTTCTCTAGGAGGTCGAGAAGGGATGGTAGAGGGTCTTGCACAAAATCGGGAGGGACCGTGTAGCGCGTGAATCCCACCCTGCATCTTTCACCATTGGAAACGGTGGGCTCCCTGAGGTCGGCCTGAGCATTGCCCTCCAGTGACCGTTGGGCGCCTCCAGCGAAGAGAGTAAGCCCGCGGCCGGTGAACCCACCAGGCAAGATTGCAATCGCCTCTGCGCCTCCACCGTCGACAGACCGCAGGAAGCTGTTCAGAAGCTTATGTTGGGAGTTCTGTTGTGCCTCCGCTGCCTCTGAACGGATACTTGCGCTGAAGTTGACATGTGCCTTGCCGCCTTCAGCCAGCCTCTGTGTCCAAGAGAGGATCTGTGTCAAGGTGCGAATGGTGCGATGCTCCTCCTCACTGAGGAAATCACGTGCGAAATCAAGCTTCTGCTGGGTAGACATCTTGTATGATCGTATCGTGTCGACGTGGATGTGTATGGAGAGAGATGGTGGGACTTGGTGGTACAAGGCTGAGAACCCCTTACAGGACGAAATCGTGACGAGGGTTTAGAGGCGTGGGCTATTTGTGGTGGAGACAAGGAGTACCTTTGGGTTCAGTCTTTGGCTGTTCGTGTGTAGAAGATGAGCTTGACACCAGATGTAAAGGGGTAGATGCCGTAGTCACGCAAGGGCCACTGGCCATTTGTATGCGAGGAGGGCGTTGTGTGGATCGAAGAAGGTCCTCCTGAAGGTCCTCAAGCGGAAAGCCACTTCGCACTTTGCAGCCCATCGACTCTTGACGGTGAGTGGGACGTAGGCGATGCCATACATGCTGGAAGTCAGATACCGTAGTCGCTCAAGGGGACGAGGTCCTCAAACCATGAACCAGCGGGACAAGAAAGTGCGAAGCACGACAGCCATTTGCAGCCAGGAAAGAAGGAGTCAGAGTAAGACTCTGCCAAAAGTTAAGCAGTGCGAACCAAGAAGAATCTTTTATTGTAGAGACCAGACGCTGCAAAGTCTCTCTGGTAACATCTGCGGACTGCGACGAAGGTGTGATAGACACTGGGTATCAGCCCGGATGAGGTCTTTACCAACACCGCACCGTGGGTTCAACCTGTCCTAGATAGAGCATTTCCGCAGCCGCTATCCATTCAGGTTATCCAAGCTCCTGTCCTCGCGCTTTCTGCACCAATCTCCATCTCTCAGAGTGACTCATTGGTCCACTGACTGCTGAACGCAACTCCACTGCGAACGAAGAGCTGCGTGATCGGGCATCGGCGCTCGGACTCGGCGACAAAATGCCTGAACTTTGGATCATCATTGCCGCCTTTGATGTCGGTTTGGACTTTGACTGTCAACACGACCTTCTCCCAGTTCGGGTTGCCCTGTTCGCCGTTGACCAACACCGCGGTGGGGAGGATGCCCTCGACCGCAACGTCCCATTGCCCAACCTTGATCTTGTGGTCCTTAGCAACCACGGATCCAGTCACCTGGGTACAGGAGCCTAGACTGGCCAATGAGTAGGACACGGGTGACGGCGACGAATCGTTTCCTCCCAGAACTTGATAGGTGTCGGTCAGGATCTTGTATGGTTTGCCCTCAACCTCGATAGTTTGCTGCGTGCCGGTGCCTCGACCATGGATTCGCACCGGGAGGCTCTGAAGCACAGATGCAGAGCCAGAGAATTGGCGGAAAGCGACCAGCGGACGTCGAAGAGGGGAGTGTGTTTGTCGTACGCTAAGGGTGCGACTCGCTGCTGCTGCGATCCGACTTTGGAACATGCTGACAACTTTTGAGCTGGTGGTCTAGTATTCACAGTATAGATGGCGCCTCAAGTCTCTCGTTGGGTCGCGACGTATTGCTTAGATGGGAAACAAGAAGGCTGACAGCAAAAGGCCTTTGACCCGAGCAGAGCAGGGGTATCCCTATCCGTGACTTATATGGAGCACTCTTCTTGTGCCCGAATTATATCCGTGTAAACCTCCTCTTAGAAGTTTTGTCCTGCTATATGATATTGCGCCATTTCCTGTGCCGATGGCGAGGTTAATGGCTTACTTGGCGGATTGGCACGGTGGGTGGCAAGGCTGGGATTCTTGAGAATCAGATAGCAGAGCTCCTGGGGAAAAAAAGACAAGGCTGGTACTAAGATCTGACACAAGGGACATAGCAAACCTAGACTCAAGTCCTCCCAGTCTTTGAGAGTCAATATGACCGCCGAGAAGGAAACATCCGGGGAATTGTTGCGCCTTATGCTGACTTTGCCACAGCCTCGTGGGTTTCTGGAGATTTACGGGGTAAACAAGGCGAGACGCTTCGGAATTCACTTATGCTTCAAAGATTGAGTGATACAGCTGCTTTTCCCGATATTATTGAAAGTACGACTACAGAGAGCCCCTGTTGGCTTGCGTGCTTGCTCTTCCTCTTCACCTCCGGCCTCGGTTCACACAAGCCGGCACTGAACACCGGCGAAGGGCGACCGGCAAACAGCGAATCTTTTAGGTAAGAGAACGGGGGTTGCGCACGGCATTGCGCCATCTCTCCCTTGCAAAGCTTACTTTACTATGCCTCTTTCACATCCCCTCGTACAAAGTAACTTGGTATAATATATTTATACCCAATTGGCCCTGCGGAGCAATTCACAGCGAGCTACCTCGGTCGCATCCTCCCGCAAATGGATGATCCTTACAAGTACATACGACGCCACCGGGATCCCGGCACACAGAGCGGCAGAATACCATGAAGAATTGTCTGGGGTAAGTACGAGGTAGAAGCTCGAGTATTCAACTTTTACTTTTTACATTTTCAAATGTTATGCCTTTAGTGGAGAGCAGGTCCAGTCCTTGACCTTTGGCCACCTGCTTACAAGCTGGATGAAGACGTTTGCCTGACAGAGACACACTCTTCACACCATGCTTGTTCGCCCCGACGAAAAGAATGACGAAGACCTGTCGTCGTCCTCCATAACTCCACAGAATGCCTGGGATGCCTCGGAAAAGACACCAGGCACACCAATTGCAGAAGCCGAGGATCACATCTCACAACAAGAGCCTCCTCAGCAGCAGACCTTTGTACCTCCCAACGGAGGGTTTGAAGCGTGGTTGTTGGTCTTTGCGGGTTTCCTGGTCTTTGCCAACGTCTGGGGCATTGTGAGCACATTTGGCGCCTTTCAAGCATTCTTCATCAGAGACCTGCTCGCCAACGAGTCGGCGTCGGCGATATCATGGATCGGTAGCGTCCAGGCGTTCCTGGTCGTCTTCACGGGCGTCTTTGGCGGCCCCCTGTTCGACCGCGGCTATCTCAGGTCGCTCGTCTTTGTCGGTTGTTTCCTGACCGTCTTCGGCATGATGATGACCAGTCTGGCCAGGTCCTACTACCAAGTCTTCCTGGCCCAGGGTGTTTGTGTCGGCCTGGGGGCGGGACTCTCGTATGTGCCGACTTTGGCGCTCATCTCGATCTTCTTCACCACCAGACGGCCCATCGCGGTCGGGGCTGCGGCGGTGGGCTCGAGCGTGGGCGGCGTCATCTTTCCCATCATGTTCCGCCAACTACAGCCACGGATTGGGTATGGCTGGACCGTCCGCTGTATTGCCTTTATCAACCTGGCTTTCGCAGTGCTCATCTGCCTGATTCTCGGCAGACATAAGAAAGAGGGGTCCACTCAAGCACGGTCTCTCTGGGATTTGACGGCGATCCGGGAGCCCGTCTTTCTCTCCTGGGTCGCCTCCTTGTTCTTTTTGTTTTTGGCCTACTATATCCCTCTGTTCTTCATTGTCTCTTGGGCACGCTGGGTCTTGGACACGTCGGAAGACATGTCTTTCTATATGCTCGCCATCTTGAATGGTGGATCTTTCCTCGGCCGCACGTTCCCGTACCTTCTGGGTCAACGGGTCAAGCCCATCTACACTTTGATCTTCTCCGCCGTCCTCGGCACCGTGCTCATCTTCTCCTGGATCGCCATCCACAGTTCGGCCGCGTTTATTGTTTGGTGTGTCCTCTGGGGATTCGTCGCCGGGGTCTTGGTGACGGCACCGACCTCGACGATGCCGCATCCCGTGATATCACCAAATCTGGGGGTGATTGGCACCAGGATGGGAATGGGCTGGGTAAGTCGCCTTTTGTCTCTTCGTACCTCTGCCCCAAATTCGGACAAGCTTTCGCACCGATACGGGCACTAACTTGACATCCAGAGTGCCGGAGCCGTTGGGTCTATCATCGGGTCACCCATCGCTGGAGCCCTTGCAAACGTCGCCGCGGGAAAGTTTCTCCACGCGCAGATATTTGTTGGTGTGGTCATGGCAGCAGGGGCGATTTTCTTGATCCCAGTGCTGATTGCAATCGAGAGGCATGATCGGAAATCTAAACGATGATCTTGGCCATCTTTTGTTTGTCGAATGTTTTCAGTTGAGCGTTACTGTAACGGCGCATTATATTGGAGTTGCATTTTTGGTGTTGTTGAGTCTTGCCCATGTCAGGATCTAACTCGAATCATCACCCTGCATGAAGGCTCTGGAACAGTGCGCCGATAACCAAGGTTGGGGATAGCAATGAGGACAGAAGTCGAAGTCTCGAGGCCAGACCAAGCCCACGGAGGCGCGCTTGACGACCAGGACTGAGAATTCACTGTGCTGCTGTTGAAGTACATGTGGCCTTACAAGATCAGGAGGGGTGTCCACGGGAACAGGAAGTTCTTTGCTAGCAATAGGGTGAGGGATGGGAGCTGATGAGTTCCCATGGAAGAAGTAGCACATCATGGCCGATGAGTCTGATTCTTCTCGACAGAGGAGAACTACACATCTCTCCTGTCTGTTCAAGCCTTGGGATCCGCTCTTTCGATCGCACAATGTCTATCCCGTGGCTATCTAACAACTTGAACACTGCTGGAGGACTTCCCTTGAGGTATCAGGAACAGATACGGCAAAGACCAGCATCCTGGACGGAATACTTCCCTTACGAGCGTACCACCTCGCGGACCTACGTCCTAAATGGCATGGCTTGAGAACAAGTAGATGAGAGAAAAAGAGAGATCGACAGTCTTTCAGCTAGCACTGAACAATTCATCCCCTGATGAAATTCTGCCTGGCGGCCCTTTCTGCAGCCGCTTTCATGGCATCAAGTAGCATCGCACTGTCGCACTGACAACCCTAGTCCCTGCAGCTATGTACACTAAAGGGTGTTGTGATTCAAGGGCATCGAGAATCCTGGGGACTTGTGAGCTGTCTGCTTGCAGGCTCAGGTCCATATCTATTGGCGTGGTGATTAAAGTCCGAAGAAAGGTGGTCACCATGACACTCGCAACTGCGCTACCTACTCGTAGCGAGCTGGGTGGATGAAGGGCCCCCGGGTGCCCCGTTAGGTAGCCGCCAAGGTCGCACTAGGCGTCAGTTTGCGCCCCGGGCCACTTCCGCGATCAGGCTCAGTTAGGCGACGCAAAAGCTTCTCGTGACCAAAACAATTGTTTGCTAGTTGTTCTCCGATGGTGTTTCTCACCACGAGGCAGCCCAAACCCGTCGAATTAGAACACCAAACACATCCAAAAGAGGTTCAACTTGTCCCACAGTGCAACTATAAGACTCGATGCTCCCCAAGCAGACAGAGCACCCGAGCGAACGAACCTTTCCCAATTCCATCCCCTCAAGCCCACGATGGCTTTACACGGCAAGTCCTTGCCTAGCAGAATTAGCCAGGCAGAAATTGGCGAGAGCGGAAGACCCACGAGATATGAGTAGTACGAGTAGGCTGAAGATCCTTGCAAAAACATGGCGGCCACGGCAGAGTCTACTTCTATACTAAGGCTGAGTTTCATTTCCCTCCTGGAGACGGGATGCTCCCCTGCCACCTTAGTCCATGCAAAAACATCGGGCTGCCGGTGCTCAAGGGGTGGGAGGACACGTTCCTCGTGTCTTCTGCTGTCAGCAAATCGACGAATCAATCGAGATGCCCGGATGCCCTTGCAGGGACACAACACCTTTGCAAGTGTTTCAGGGGATTGCAACGTGGTCTCGTATCTGGCCGGGGTTGACGTCTTTACCGTCTAGGGAAATGATCGAATTGCGCCTTTTCTGTTTCAAGCGTAGCAGATGAGCTTTGGCGTCCACTAGCCACCTGAATCACACCTTCTGCGAGCAACCATCACCACCATCACCACGGACATCTTCCCTGTTAATCTTCGTCTGTACGCAGTCTGCTTCCTGGCCTCAGCATCCCCTGAATCCCCGCCCCATTCCTTGCAGTGTCCGGCGCATGTGGCTTTTCGAGACGACCAGTGATTGTCAGAAGAGAACGCCGTCTGGGAAGGCCACGAACTTACGGTGTGGGATGGTCGGAAGTAACAGATCACTGTGGCTTGCAGTTTACTAGGGGAGGAGGTGCTGGGCTCTGTCAGAGAATGTTCCTTTGCCGCGTGGAATGTTTGCTCGCCCATGTCGGCTGGATGCTCCGAATCCACGCGAGAAAGACACAGACGACCAACCTCCGTCCTTCACCTACTGATCCACTCTTATCTGGGGCCGAACACAATTGATGAGCAAGGAAAGTCCGGGGCTTGACGCAAGATAACGCGCGCTTAAGGGGGCTCATTGCCCAGTTTCAGCCCGTGGACATTTGTTCAACCTACTAGGCCTCAGCATGGCTTGCAGCCAACCGTCCTGCTTGCCCGCACATCCACTTATCCCAAGCGATGTATGGATTCTACCAGGGTGGTGCCATGGGATGTGGGAGTATCTAGCCCTCAGAGTGAATATTGGGAGGTCTCTGGCACCTGTCTGCGCACAACTTCTTCACT